GATCACTTCTCCTACAGACATATTAGTCCTTAGTAAAGGGTTAAACTCACAAAACTCCAGTTATGCAGGGCAGGTTGGGGTCCTTGTATCTCATGGTGGATGTTCTGTACCTTAGCATCAAGGTCTAGAACTGTCGCCACATCCAGGTGAGAGTTTGGGAAGCTTCCATCTAAAAGTAGAGCCTCTTCTTCATTTAGGGTCCTTGACTTCAGTTGCAGAATAAGAATTTCTGGACAATTCATCATGGTAAGAAAACTTGGCAAAGCTTTGTTAAGTAAGTAAGCAAGCAGGGTAGCAGGCAGTCAGACAAACAGCTGAGCAGAAAGGCAGAGGCTTACTCTAACAGAGTGTAGCTACTCTCAAAGGAAGAAACAGAGCTATTTCACAAGGGGTATTTTTATGATAAAGTTATGCAAAGATAGGTGTTTGTCTTTGCTGTAGGTGTAATACTTTGTGAATTCCTGGCTGTTGTTTGGGTATTCCTTTCAGGAAAGAATGCATCCTGGGCTGGGAACATGGCTTAAGTGGTAGAGTGCTTGCTTGCCTACTATGCATGAAGCCCTGAGTTTGATTCCTCAGTACCACATAAACAGAGAAAGCCAGAACTGGCGCTGTGGCTCAAGTGGCAGAATGCTAGCCTTGAGCAAAAAGAAGCTCAGGGACAGTGCTCAGGCCCTGAGTTCAACCTCCAGAACTGACAAAAAAAAAAAAAAGGAATGTATCTTACTATAAAACAACTGCTAATCCTTGAGATAAAGAATGCATCTAGTTGTGTATCTTAGAAGCAATGATAGTGCTATCTTTCTAAATTCTTTGCTTGTTTCAGATGTGTCTTCACCAGGCCTCATATTCCCTAGTCTATTCTATATCCTTTTCCCCTAAAATGATTTTGGTTCTTTAATTTGAAGGAAAGTTGATAGATGAAGATTAGTCTCCTGTATTTGCTTTAAGCTGAATTATTGAATTCCTGGCTGCCCTTCACCATGCCTCATTTTCCCTAATCTACCCTACCTCAGAATCTGTACAAGGATGATGAAAAGTGTAAGGGGAACAAGGCCTTCCTCCAGAACACAGACATATATCAGAAAAACTCTCTTCTTGGAGCTTGCCATAAGATTCATAAAGCAACATCATGAAGTTGTGTCATACTGCCTAGTATAGAAACTTGCCTCACAGCCTGAAGTACCTATTGAAGACTTCTCTAGTCCTAGATACCCTTCATATACTCAGAAACTACAAAAAAATCCCCCCATCAGCCACCCCATCAGCCCTTTCCTAAGTTTCAGAACTTTGAAATACTCCACAAATCAATAAAGTAGATAGAGAGTTCATATCCATAAATCACATACTTGGATTTATTCCTATGACTTTTCAGTATGCTTTTTCAAAAGCATCTCCCTTGGGCATGTAGCTCAGTGAAAGGATACATGACTGCCACACACAAGTCCTGGATTTCATCCCTAGCACTGCCAGAACAAAAATAAACAAGGAAGAAGCCTGGTGTTGTGGTACAGGCTTGGAATTCCAGCATATTCAGGTCATTCTCCTTCATTTTCTTTTCCTCCTGCTGACATAGAAGGATCATGAATTCCAGCCCAGCCTGGGCTACAAATCCAGTTCCATATCAGTCTGACTACATACTGAAATTCTGTATATAAACACATAATTCTGTGTATAAATCCATGAATACATTTTTGTACCCATGCAAGTCAAAACAGAGGAGCACCTAAGAAATTTGAAGGCCCTTTATTGTGGTTGGTGGTTGAGAGCTAGCATGTTCAGCCAATTTACTCTGCTGGTGCTCTACTACCGAGCAATCCCTCCAGCTTGGTTTTTTGCTGGCTATTTTGGAGATGTGGTCTGAGCTGCCTGAGCTGGGCTAAGATCCTCAGGATCTTGTTTACATGAGGAGCTAAGATTACAGATGTAAGCTACTGGTATCAGTCTTAAATTATTTTTTAAGAAAAACAATCGCCGGGCGCTGGTCGCTCACGCCTGTAATCCTAGCTACTCAGGAGGCTGAGATCTGAGGATCGCGGTTCAAAGCCAGCCCGGGCAGGAGAGACCGTGAGACTCCTATCCCAATAAACCACCAGAAAACCGGAAGTGGCGCTGTAGCTCAAGTGGTAGAGCGCTCGCCTTGAGCTGAAGAGCTGAGGGACAGCGCCCAAGCCCAGAGTTCAAGCCCCATGACCGACAAAAAAAAAAAAAAAAGAAAAACAATCATTTTTACTTTAACTAGACACATACTTATAATCGCACATACTTATAGGGTACTATGTGATGTTTTGAAACCTGTATATAATATATGATTATCAAACTAGTTAACATTCCTCAGATATTTAATGGCTTTTTGGTGACATCTTTCAAAATTCTCTCCTCTATTCTGTAAACAACAATAATAGCCATTTATAATAATTTAATTCAATATAATTTAATGAAATATAATGCTAATTATTTGGTGCCAGTCCTGAGGCTTGAAGTCAAGGCCTGGGTGCTGTCCCTGAGATTCCTTTTCTCAAGGCTAGCACTCTACCACTTGAGCCACAGCTCCATTTCCAGCTTTTTCTCAGTAGTTTGTTGGAGATAAGATTCTCAGACTTTCCTGACCAGGATGGCATGAAACCACAATTCTTAGATGCCAGCCTTAATCCTCAAATCTCAGACTCCTGAGTAGCTAGGATTACAGGCATGAGTGGCCAGCATCAAGATTTTTATTTTTTTGTTGGTTGTGGGGCTTCAACACTGGTCCTGGGCGCTGTCCCTGAGCTCTTCAGCTCAAGGCTTGTGCTCTACCACTTGAGCCACAGCGCCACTTCTGGTTTTCTGGTGATTTATTGGAGAAAAGAGTCTCATGGACTTTTTCTGCCTGGGCTGGCTTTGAACTTCTATAAGCAGATCTCAGCTTCCTTAGCAGCTAGGATTACAGGCATGATCCACTGGCACCCAGCTGTAAATTATGTTTTTAATATAGATCCTTAAGAGGTAGATTAGCCAAGCTGGGTCTGTCATGGGAAATCACACAGACAGAGATAGAGGTGGTGGCTCCTGCCTAAAATCCTAGCTACTTGGGGAGGCTGAGATCGGGAGGACACTGTTCAAGGTCAGCACTGGCAAATAGTTCATGAGCTCCTTATTTCAATCAATAAAAAATGGGCATGGTTGCATGCACCTGTCATTGTCTCAGTTTTAAGAGAAGTAGGATGATCCAAGTCCAGGATGGCCCAAGCAACAAAGCAAGATATTATTCCACAAATAATGAAAACAAGGAGGGCTTGCTAAGCAAGCACTCTGAATCTTCAGTCTCATCTCCAGCTTTTTGGGCTTTAGGTTAGTATTTATTTATTTAGGCAGTGTTGTCATTTGAAATCAGAGCCTTGCCTTTAACAGGCAAGCACTCTATCAAAAAGTCACACTTGAAGTCTGCTTTAGGTTATTTTTCAGATAAGCTCCATAGTTTTACCCAGAAATGGGCTAGAGCATGATCTACCATATTCTGTGTAGATGAAAAAAGGCACGTGGCACCACTCCTGGCTTATTTGTTAACATGAGATCACACTAAAGTTTGGCCCTTGTGTGTCAAACCTCCTGATGTCCACCTCCCATGTAGCTAGTATTGAAAAACACTTGAATTTAAAATGACTTTTGGTCATTTTTAATATTAAAAAACCACTGACATAGTGTAGCTATTAGGTAGAATATAAAGCTTGAAAAAATGTTCTAATAATAATGCTTACTCTCTGTTATGGTTCCTTGTAGCAGTATTGTATATGAACAAATCAATCACATAAATGAGAAATAAAATGATATAGAAACTGAGACATTTCTCAGGGCTGAGAGCATGTCTTAAATATTAGAGTATTTGTGTGTGAAGCATGAGATCTTGAGTTCAAAAGTCCTTTGTCAACATTAAGCCTTCTCTACATTAACTGCTGTTAGTACTTTATGGACATTCTATATTATGGTTGCTAATATTGGAGGACTTATTTTTTGTGTTAGTCCTGGGGCTTGAACTCAGACCTAGGCACTGTCTTTGAGCTTTTTCACTGTCCTTGAGTTGGTTCTGTACCACTAGAGCCACAGCTCCACCTCCAGCATTTTAGTGATTAATTGGAGATAAGAGTTCCACAGGCTTTCCTGCTCAAGCTGGCTTCAAACCACAATGTTCAGATCTCAGCCTCCTGAATAGTTAAGGATTCCAGGTGCGAGCCTCCACTGGCCAGTTGGAGGCCTTTTTAAATGTTATCACAGTAACAGTAACAGAGAGGTCACCCTCATCTACAGCTAGGGAGCTAGTACTTAACACATAAAAATGCAAGAAGAGAGGCTGGGAAGGTGGCTCAGTGTTAGAGCGCTTGCCTTGCATGCTCAAGACCCTGGGTTCGATTCTTCAGCACCACATAAGCAAACAGAAAAAAGCCGGAAGTGGCGCTGTGGCTCAAGTGGTAGAGCGCTAGCCTTGAGCTGAAGAGCTGAGAGACAGTGCCCAGGCCCAGAGTTCAGGCCCCACGACCGGACCCAAAAAAAAAAAATGCAAGAGGAAGCAGAAAACAAAGGTACTGCACATCACTGAAGTGGCATTCAGAGTCTCATCCATAAACGAATATGCCAGGTCTGAGGGGCAGGGGTGTCCAGGGAACTCAGCAACTTCCAGAACAAAGAATGTCCCTCTGCAAGGGAAGCAGGCTTCTCCATCACGAAATATTCAACCCACCCAAAGTCCCCTCCAGCCACTAGCCTTTCCACAACTTGAAACCTAAGGCCCCGCCCCTTCAGCTTCATGACCCCACCAATCGGAGAATGTGACATTCACCCCACAGTTTCTTACTCAGCCTGGGCCCAGTGACACGCCTGCGCACGAGCCATTTCTAAGTCCAGTGGAAGAACCACGCGCCCGTGCGCGCGCGCAGGAGCTCTGCCCGTGGGCACGCCCACACACGGACAAGCCATTGAGTTCCCGCGCACGGCCCCGCCTCCGCGAGGACGCACTTCCGGCGACGGCTGGGCTCTGACACCCGCACAGCCAGCGAAGCCCAGCAAAGCCCAGCGAAGCCCAGCTGAGCGCGGCGGAACGAGCCTGAAGCCATGGAGGGTCGGGTGCAGCTGATGAAGGCCTTCATGGCCTGGCCCATCCGGCGCTCGGCGCGGCGCTGGAAGAACCCCATCCCCTTTCCCGAGATGTTTGACGGCGACACGGACCGGCTGCCCGAGTTCATCGTGCAGACGGGCTCCTACATGTTCGTGGACGACAAGACCTTCTCCAGCGACGCCCTGAAGGTGACGTTCCTCATCACCCGCCTCAAGGGCCCGGCCCTGCAGTGGGTCATCCCCTACATCGAGAAGGACAGCCCCCTGCTCAGCGATTACCGGGGCTTCCTGGCCGAGATGAAGCGGGTGTTCGGCTGGGAGGAGGACGAGGACTTCTAGGCGGCCAGAGCCTGGGGCCCGGGGCGGGTGCTCCGGGGAGGGGGGGCTGCGCGCCGCCAGGGTGGCCACGGGCGCTGTCCGGCCGCGCCTCGGG